CTTTCTTTCTTTCTTTCTTTCTTTCTTTCTTTCTTTCTTTCTTTCTTATAATTAACTTGAAAGCATTTAAGATGTTTCAAGGATACTTCACTCAGGAGGTGTCCTGATCTAGAAATGGTCTTTTCTAGATCCCACCATTTACCTGTAAATTTCATGATTTCCTTGTTTTTAATTGCTGATTAGTGTTCCATTGTGTAAATGTTTCTGTAGCCATTCCTCCACTGAGGGACCTCTGGGTTGTTTCCAGGTTCTGGCTATTATGAATAAAACTGGGTATATACTCACTTATAAGTGGATACTAGACCTATAAGATAGGATAAACATACCAAAATCTGTACACCTAAAGAGCTAAACAAGAAGGAGGTCCCAGGGTAAGATGTTTAATCCTCACTTAGAAAGACAAATGGGATTGACATTGGAAGTAAGAGAAAACAAGAAACAGGACAGGAGCCTAACATAGAGGGAATCTGAAAGACCCTACCTAGCACTATATCAGATGCTGAGACTCATAATCAAACCTTGGGCAGAGTGCAGGAAATCATATGAAAGAAGGGAAAGTTGGTAAGACCTGGAGAGGACAGGAGCTCCACAAGGACCAAATATAGCTGGGCCCAGGGGTCTTTTTTGAGACTGATTCTCCAACCAAGGACCATGCATAGATATAACCTAGATCCTCTGCTCAGATATAGCCCATGGCAGCTCAGCATCCAAGTGGGTTTCCCTAGAAAGGGGAACAAGGACTGTCTCTGAGATAGACTCAGAGGCTGGCTCTTTGACACCCCCCACCCCCCAGGAAGGAGCAGCCTTGCTAGAGCACAGAAGAGGACATTGCAGCCAGTCGTGATGAGACTTGATAAACTAGGGTCAGATGGAGGGAAGGAGGACTTCCCCTATCAGTGTACTTAGAGAGAGGCAGGGAGGAGATGAAGGAGGGAGGGTGGGATTGGGAGGGAATAAGGAAGGGGTCTACAGCTGGGATACAAAGTAAATAAACTGTAATTAATATAAAAAATAAAAATTAAAAAAGAATAAGTAACAACAACAACAACAAAAAGATGTTTCAAAGAACTCCTGATACTATTTTAGCTTTTTCCATAGTTGTTTTTTAAGCAGAACAACATGATTTGTATGTTTTGGGTGAAAAGCTTAGGTTTTGAAGCAGGCTTTACTTTGGGTTAAAGTAGCATAAGTTCTGTTAGCCAGTGAACAGGTGATGAATTCTGAATTCAGTTTAGGCAGTTTGTGAAGTCAAGTTTGTCTAAGGCCCAGCCAACATATCTGTTGTCACCATTCATATGGAATAATGTCTGAACATATTGGCTCTTTCATAAATTGGAAGAGACAGAGGCAAAGAGGAAACTGGAAGCTATGATTATGAAATGTAATTTAATATGAAGGTTTTTATATATTTTTCTAAAGAGTCTTGTTCTCCCATTTTTATTGTGTATTTGCTCTGTAGGCACCACAATGATCCTACTTCTGTTTCCACCTTGCCTAAATCAAATGAGAATGAGTGTGATTTTGATGACGAGGTAAAATTTTGCTTCTTAAACTTAATATATTTGTACAGAAATGTGTTTTTCTGGTGCTTACACTTGAAATTTTGTAGTGGTCTACCAGTTGTAATTTTGTTGACAATAGGCCATAGTCAGTGGGTGAGAAAAGACATTTTTTTCAAGACTATGAGTAGTAACTAATTTAATATTTCTTTAATTCGATAAACAGCAAAGATCATGCAACTAGTGGTAAGAGTAAAAGGGGGGGATATATAGTTTAAGAGAATTGTACTAGAAATAGAATTTCTACAGCAAATGAGTTTTAAAATATGGTCAATGACATTTGGGTAAATGTCACTTAATGTGACTTATGACATCATATGATATTAGAATCACAGTGAAGAAAACATTCTCACCAGAGGAAACAGAATCATTCATGGAAGATGGATAGCTTATGTCTTGTTTAGCAAGCTATTCACCTGAGCATTCATGTTCTTTTGTAGTAGCTGTAGACTTTAATTTGAATTATTTCATGTCCTTCTGCGGCGGTAGACCTTGAACACAGGTTGCAATATACATATAGAACTGTTCTTCTGCCCTCTGCAGGACCAAGTCCAACAATAAGAGCTGCTTTCCAGTACATACCAATTCTCATCATCAGTTTGCTGTTTTAAATTTATAAAACACTCTGATCCGTGGAGATAACCAAGAACCCTGACAATGCAGCCACTTCTGATGAGAACTGATAGACTAAGATCAGAAAGAAGGAGAGGAGGACCTCCCCTATCAGTTGACTTGGGGAGGGGCATGCATGCAGAAAGGGGGTGAGGGTGGGACCGGGAGGGAAGGAGGGAAGGGCTTATGGGGGGATACAAAATGAATAAAGTGTAATTAATAAAAGTTAAAAAAAATTAAAAAAAGATCTTAGCCACATATCTTCTTCCTGATGTGGATACTGAATACAAATTTAAAAACAAGTCAACCATATTTTAAAAAGATTAGTTAGAAAATGATTTGGAATGGTGCTGATAGCTTAATATTTTCACAACAAATTTTATCTTTAATCATGAAGTAACATTTTATATGGCATAATTAGGGAAAATACTATTATGCTATTTATAGTTTGATAAAAAAATCTTGCATGAACTTTAAAAATTTTTTATCATTATAATTTATTACAGCCTATTCAATTTGTATCCTGGCTGTGGCTCCCTCCCTCATCTCTTCCCAATCTCACCCTCCCTCCCTCTTCTTCCCATATTCCCCTCCCCTAGTTCACTAATAGAAGAGGTCCTCCTCCCTTTCTACTTGATCCTAGCCTATCAAGTCTCATCAGGACTGGTTGCATTGTCTTCCCCTGTGGCCTGGCAAGGCTGCACCCCAAGGGGAGGTGATCAGAGAGCCTGTCAGTGAGTTCATGCCAGAGAAAGGCCTTGCTTCTCTTATTAGGGACCCTAATAAGATAGTGAGTCTATGAGCACTGACATTGTGCTGGAGTTGTAGGTCCTCTCCATGCATTGTCCTTGGTTGGGGTATCAGTCTCTTCCGGCCCCCCAGGGCTCAGTTTTTCTGACTCTGTTGTCCCCTCCAGGTCTTTCTAACTTCCCCTTCTTTCCTAAGATTCCCTCACTCTGCCCAAAGTTTGGCTATGAGTCTCAGCCTCTACTTAGATACCTCCATCACAGAGGAAGAGAGTGCAACCAGTCCTGATGAGACCTGATAGGCTAGGGTCAAATAGAAGGGGAGGAGTGAACTAGGGGATGGGCTAAGGGGAGTAGAGAGAGGGAGGGTGAGTTTGAGAGGAGATGAGGGAGGAGGCTACAGCTGGGATGCAAATTGAATAAATTGTAATAAATGATAATAATTATTAAAGAAAAATAAAGTAAATAAATGTATGATTAAAAAAAAAACAAATTTGGAAAATATTCCAGATAAAGGGAAAGAATATAGTTTGTCAAAGCATTGTTATGTTTTGATTGCCAAATAGTGGAAAAGGAAAGTTCTGGGGATAGATACCTTTTTATTGTGGGTATTTAAAGAGAAATCATTTTAAAAATTGAATACTCATTTTCAATGTAAGAATGTAAGAGTAGGGCAATCTAAGATTAATTTCTTTTATGAAATATGTGCAAATAAGCAGATTGTCTATGAACATGTCTCTTGTAAGTGTCCATGTTTGTTTTACACAGTAGAGAAAGACAGACTTAATCTAGAGAACATGTATAAGGTTTGCTGTTGAAATACTTGCTTTTAGGGACATTCTTTTTTTTGTGCCCAGTTTTTTTTTTTTAATGAAAAAGTCACATATCTTAAAATTAATAAGAAAGCATTAATTACTTTATTGTTTTGGTATCAATTTTAGCTGGATACTTCTAAGTATGCTCTCGCTAAATGTCCTAATAACTTCCGTGGGGCTGGAGATCAAAGAGACAAAAATGAATCAAGTGGAACAGTAGATGGTAAGAATCATATTCTATAAAAATATTATGTGACAGAAGGTTTATTTATATCATGAGGACTGATGAAATCTAAGAGCTAAATAATTTTTCTTTTAATGGATAACAGTGAAAAGTGGAAGTGAAGTGCCTACAATTGCATCTCTCAACAGGCAAGACAGAAGTGTCACTAAACATGTTTAATTATGGTTACCAGTTCGTGACATTCTTATACACAAGGGCTCTTGGGAAATAAAGAAGAAATGAATACAAGGAATGAGATATAAAAGCAGAGAGAACAAGGGAATAAATAAAGAAAATATTTTATTGTACACAGTGTAAAAGAAAAAGCTAAAATTATGAAAAACCAGAAATTTGTTTTCATGTAGCAATTGAGAGGTTGGAAAAAACTTCTTATTCTTTCTCATCATCTCACCATTGCAAAAAAAATTTCATTAATGTCTAATGAACTCTATCATACAGACGCGGGTTTACTTTATTACAGATAAATATAAGCACTATGTGTTTAATTATATATTGTGGTGTAAAATGTCAGGGAAGTTGCTGTTACAGGCTGATACAAGATAAAGTAATAGGCTTTCACAAGAACAAAGAATGGTGTTAGTTATAGAAGGTTCAGGAAGTTATCATCAGACATGATAAGAACTTCAGGTCAGATGCCAAACATAAGCTGAGGCAGAGAGGTACTGAAGAAGACATCATAAAAACCAGTATTTCTCAAAGATACAGAAATTTGTGGTCAGTCTTAAAAAAACAAATAATATTGTTCAGCTTGCCAAAAACTCTGTATTTACAATATTTTCTCAATCAATAACAACCAGCTACATTCTGTATATCCCCATTATACTTATTTTTAGATAAACATAGAGAGAGGGCTCTTAGATTACTACTGACGATCAACGCTATCAAGTGAAAGAGTACATTTGCTTTTATGTGTGAGCCTGAAAGTAGAAATCATTAAAAAAAAAAAAAAAGGAAGAAGCAGAAATAGAAACATTATAAGATGGTAATGGGAATTTATGGAATTTATGGCAGGAAAAGACCAGGAGATAGAATGTGAGCAATGAGAATTTGAATTTAGATATGTGCTTACGGTCTGCAGTGACATCCAGTTTTCCAATGAGGCTATTGCTAGTGTGAAAATCCTTTATTGCCCACATGATACAATAATGCAGTTTTGGAAATAGTAGATCCTTAATTTCAACTAATTTACTTACACTGAAATTGTGCCTTATAGTAAACGTTTTACCTGGTTTACATGTATAAAGGTTTCATAATTCTTCCTTGAAAAGTCATTTTAAAACTTTGGCAATCGTGCTTAAAACATTTATCTGCATTAAGTTACAATTTAGGTTCATATACTTCCTTAAAAATGCTTCCTAAAATTTTTAAGAAATGGTTTATAAGGCATAATAAATTCATAATAATAATTTGCATTCATGTTCAAACTGGAATATCTCTATGAATGCTCATTATACACATTAGTACGTAAGCTGATCAGTCCAGAGCAGTTTTCTTGATAAGTGATTTTTGTTTGTCTGAATAGTTCTACTGGATTCATGTTACCAGGATCACATGAAAAACTATGCTAAATTCTTATAGTCTTCTGGTTTCACTTATGATGAATTTTTATCTACATTACATATATAAATATATGTAATTTGTTATATATTATATAATGACTATTAGCCTTAATGACTGAAATATATCATCTTAGAGTCTTACTTTAGAAACCTTCAACTTTAATCTATTATATTACTTTTTTAATTGCATCCCAAACATATCCTTCCGAACTGTACCAAAATAGAAAAATCAAAAACAAAATTTAGGAACCTCAAATTTTGAATTATCACTTCTAAAGCTACCCATGATTATTATGTCCTGTACAGATTCTGCTTGACTTAGTGGTCAATGGTGTGGTGAAATATGATTGATTGTGTGTCTCTTTGACATTTTAGATTCCTCTAAAGAACAACTCATGTCAAAGGTAATGGCATACAATTTATATCATTAGTTCATACTGTATGAATACAGATATTATTAATTATCATTTCTAATTCCACACAGCCTGCCATTGAAAAAGTAGATTCTGTTGCATATGAAGAATCAGGATCAAATCAGGAGGAGTCAACACTTGCAGGTAAACCATGGAGTATTGGTGTCTGTGCAAAAGTACTTCAGCATAATTTGAAATGTTTACAATATTTACAATATTACAGTCTTATTGATGAGTTTTGTATCAATGCAAGGGTTTTCGCTACTTTGATGTGCAGTTCTTGTGTGTCACGTGCCTCTGGCTCTACTAAACTAATAGCAATTCTCCTGATAAATTAACAATTTCTTGTAAAAGCCTAGTATCATTAAAATCCTTTTATTCTCTCATTACCTACATGTCATGCTCTCATTATTTTCTGTCATGCATCTGCCTAAACTTAACATTAATTCTTAAATCAGATATGTGTTCAGGAAAAACAACCATAAATATTTATACTATACCTAGTCTTATAGCAATACATCTGACTAAGTACTAATAATTCTGGTCTCAAATCAGGAGAATGGCCAGTATATATATGGACCATTCGAATGTTACTGCCAGGTGTGAGATTAAGAAGGAGAGAGATTATTGAATAGATGTGTGTTTTTAGAAGAAATTTTGATACAGAAGCAATCAGGTTAAATAGAAACAAAATCTTTTATCTAGGTAAGGAAAAGATTAATCCAAAAAGACCATACATTACAGTCAGTCTTGAATGAGAACACTTCTTATAGTGAATTCAAGATTTCCACATATGAGAAACAGTAACCCTAGATAATTAATTACTAGATCTTTTTGTAAAGGGAATGCTTGGCAAATAGGGTAGTTTTAACCTTATGCATTTTCTATTTGTGTGCAGTGTGAAGCTGTACCTAGTTAGGTGTTTGAAAAATTTTTAAGGTTTGCTCCTAACTACCTCTAAATTTAAGGATAAATTTTTGAGATGTGTGTATGTTTTGAAAATTGTGCCACCTACTGCCTGTGTAAGTCAACTACTGAATATTTAGAGGATGAGAAATAATTTAGGGAAAACAAATACACAGCACTTACTTGGAACAATTCTTTGAAAACTGCATTAATTTCAATGGAAAATAATGTTTTCAAAATATATGTTGTTTTATAGACAATATATATATTCAGCTCTTCATAGCTTAACTAAATAACAAATACATTTACCAACAGAATCAGACATATTTACCACTGAATCACTGGAAGAAAAGGTCTCAGACGACAGTGAAAATATTCAGCCATCGGTATGAGAATATTTCAATTCTTTTGTTCTTGTTTAATTGCATATCATGAGCAATAAGGAGGTATTTTTTTGTTATCTCTTCCAAACTTAGTTGTTAATGCTTAAAACAATTTAAACAATTATAAAACTTAGAATATTATTATTAAGATCAACACTAGTTTAAAGTTAAATTTTTATCTTTAGACTGTGTCAAAAATTATTCCAAATATAGTCTCTGCTTTTTCCAGTGTATCATTACAGTAGAATAAAAATGTAAGATCCAATTTTAGCTTAATGACTGAACAGCTGCAATTGTGAAAGAGGCAGCTGCATTTGCTTTATGGTAAAGGATCATGTTTCTCATTCAAGTCTGTGGTTCCACATTATGAACATCAATGCTAATTTTTCTTAATTCTTTCTTTTTTATTATTTTTCCTTTTTATTTACTGTTTATATATTACAGTTTATTCACTTAGTATCCTAGCTGTAACCCACTCCCTCATCCCCTTCCAATCCCACTCTCCCTCCCTTTTCTCCTCCCATGGTTCTCCCATAGTCCACTGATAGGAGAGGTCCTCCTCTCTTTCCATCTGACCTTAGCCTATCAGGTCTCATCAGAACATCAAAAGAGGGATAAAATGGGGGACAGGACAGGGCTTCTGAAAGACTATACTCAGGGAATAGAAACAGATGCTAAGACTCATAGCCAAACTTTGGGCAGAGTGCAGGACCTTATAAAAGAAGGGGGAGATAAAAAGGGGACAGGAGGGGACAGGAACTACACAAGGAGAGCAACAGAACCAAAAAAAAAACAAAAACAAACAAAAACAAAAAACAAAAAAAAACTGGGCCCAGAGATCTTTTCTGAAACTGATAGTCAAACCAAAGACCATTCATGGATATAACCTAGAACCCCTTCACAGAAGTAGCCCATGGCAGCTCAGTCTCCAAGTGGGTTCCCTAGTAGGGGAACAGGGACTATCTCTGACATGAACTCAGGGGCTGGCTCACTTGATCCCCTTCCACTGAGGTGGCAGCAACCTTACAAGGCCACAGAGAAAGGCGATGCTAATTGTTATTTCTATATTGCATCTATAGTGTCTTCATTCTTTTTATTGAGGGAAATAATAGAATGGCATAATCAATCCTAGTGCATTTTCACAAAGTTCTTTCTTCCACTAGAGGCCTTTTGCTGTACCTCCCAACAGCTGTGATTTATATATCTTTATTGTCAGTTCTACTAGATTTGAACACCCCTTTGGAGACTTACATTTGACTTGTCTGAATGGGTGTTCTTTGGGAGGACTGAGTGTGTAATGTAAAACCAGAGTGAACATCACAAGCATAAGCCCAGAGGTTGTCACTACAGACCGAAAAGGAAAAGGAGAAAGCAACCTGAGTACCAGCATTCCTTTTCAACCTTTTTAACTGTTTTGTTTTCATTTGTTTGAAACAAGATTTTTCTATGTATGTCTGGTCCTGGAACTCATTTTGTAGACAAGTCTGGCCTAAAACTCAGAGATACCCTTGTTTCTGCCTCCTGAGTGCTATGAATAAAGATATGCATCACCAGGAAGAGAAATGTTTCTGTCGTTAGATGTCATGTAAATGCTTAATGCCACATTCTATAAGTAAAAATTAAATGTGCCCAAACATGAGCTACAGAACTGCTTTTGGGAAATCCTATTTAGAACAGCTTTACTTGTGGATATACATACTTCCTCTGGCTTTCCATGACCAAGTTATTTAATCAGTGCATTTGCAATGATAATAAGTAGAGTTGATGTAGGTAGAACGTTTCACGTTCTATTTTAGCGTATTTTCCCCCGCAACACAATTTTTCTTGTAACATTCCAATTTAGTTGCTTTTAAAAGTGGAAAAATCTTATTCTGAAGTAAATGATAAGTGGGAAACTCATGATTGATACAAATTTTAACCAGTGCCTCTGATCATCTTCCACAGATAGGAGATGGTGTTTTATCTAGGAAAACTTATAAAAGAAGAAAAAATAACACAGAAAGAAAAATTAAAGGTGGGAATTTTAAAATGTTATAAAAATCATGCCTGTGAAAGGACACTGATTTAAAACAAAGGCTAAGGCATTCATATTGTATGGGTCCAAGATACAACACTACTGAATTGAAATGAGGGAAGTAATCAAAATATCCTGTAAATAATAAACATGGAAAAAGAAGCTTACATCTTGATAAGATAATTTGAATAGTAGAAGCTTAACAAAGAAAGTAAAGTGAAGTTCACTGTGAAAACTTGTCAGACATGAGCAGAAGACTTTGGGTGACTTTATATCTCAGCACTGAGAACAAAGACTAGATCAAAGTTTCTACATGGATTGTTGGACCCAAGAGGAGCTGGTATAATTAGGTAAACTGTAGCTAATAAATTCTCTTAATAATTTCAAACATCAAAGAAATAGAAGTATGCAAGATTGATTTTGGGCAGATACATGAAAGTAACTTGAAAAGCATATCAATTTTAACTTGAGTGACTAATGTGGTTATTTAGCGAATGTGCTTTCAAAACTAACATGATGTACCGCAATGATGCACCCTCAGAGACAAAACACATTAGAGTTCATTCTTTGAATAAAAAAAATGTAAATTATAACATATGTAACATTGATCTCATACACTCCAAGTTCCTGATCCAACAAAGTGAATAATCAGAATACATTTTTTTAATCATTTTTATTTTACGTGCATTGGTGTTTTGTCTACACGTGTGTCTGTATGAGGGTAAAAGATCCCCTGTAACTGAATTTACCAACAGTTGTGGGCTGCCATGTAGATGCTGGGAATTAAATCCAGGTACTCTGAAAGAGCAGCCGGTGCTCTTAACCACTGAGCCATCTCTCGAGCCCCTCAGCTTACATTTTAAAATAATATCTTGCTGTTGAAAGAGGCTTTTTACCATAATCTATGTGTAATGCATACATTTCCAATAGTGGATCAAGATACTATAAAATGTCTGTACTGAAAACATTTTGCCATGATAACATACTTACATGTGTATGAAAAAGACCACTACTTTATGAATCATTTAGAAAATATTGCTCTAATTGTTTATTTATCCATTGTTACAGGCAAAAGAGGTAAAGACACAAGACTCAGTCAACAGAAAGGTGAGAAATCTTGTTCTACACAGTCATTTGATGGTATGTGTATTTAAAGCAGGACAAACTAACACTAAACAGACTGAGCAGGCTTTATTTATAAATTTAGGCGTATGTATACAAATCTAAATGTTTGTGTGTAACAATAACAATTAAAACAAAAGAGTCCATGTAATATAGAAGTCACAGAGTTGGAGTGCATGAGAAGGGCTGGATGGAAGAAATGGAAGAAAAAATGAGGTAATATTTTAATTAAATTTAAAATTAAAAATATCAAAAATAGGACACAGAGCTGGGGAGTTGAGTCTTTGAAAAGGAGAGAGAGTTTCCTGTGAAAGCGTGAAAACTTGAGTTCAATTATCTAGACTGACTAAAAAAGTTGGGCATGGCTGCTGTGACTATATAACCCAGCACACTGAGGACAGTGTCAGGGGGATCATTGAGTCAGATATTCTGACTACTTTTCTAACTCCAAATTCAGTAATAGAGCTTGTCTTATTGGAAAAAGGTAGACAGTGATAGTCACGGTCTCCTGTGGTCCTCTTCTGGTCTATATTTGTGCATTCACAGATATGCAACTGCATAGACATACATGCATACACCATGCACACATAGCAAAGACCGAAATAAAATTAAAAAAAATGGGACAGAAATTATTTTCCTGTCATTAAAATTACCTATGTAATATTCATGGAATAATCCACTATATTAAATGGCTATACAGTTTTTTTTTTTAACTTAAGAAGCTTGAATAATTTTGAGGGTAATATTACATGTCTGAGTAGCATGTGAGTTTTTTTTTTTTATAGCTGAGGAATGTTCTGAACAAGGAGGGTGATGAAGGAAAGGAGGACACAGATTAGGATCTACAGAGGGGACAGAAAGCAAATGAAGGTAATGAGCAGGTGTTTACAGTTGTAAAATTTAACTTACCAGGAGGTTATTTTATGTATGTACTCTAGAATTTTCTGTTGCAAATTTCCATGTTTATTAGGATTTCCTATCTCGACTTGGAATGACCGTGACAGAGTTATCTGCCTGTGTTCTCAGCTCTGTCAGAGCCTGGAGCAAATGTTTCTGCGAGAACAGGGTTTTAGTTTGATCTCAATTATAAGATAGTTTTCTATGGAGTAAAGACAAAATATACCTATGAATTCAATTTGGATGATACTTATGATTATCTGAAGCTTATTTGCATTTTAGTTTATATTCAAGTTTGTTATAGCTCTGTGTCTGGCATAGTAGTAGGTCTGTAGCCAGAAATCATAAAATAGAAAATGAGATGGGTAAGTGTGAATAGAATTTCTTGAGCCACCTGGAGCACATGCACCGTCCCACACATGAACACACACACACACACACACACACACACACACACACACACACACGTCAGAGAGAGAGGGTTGAATGATTCAGTACAATCCATTTCAAATATCAGTTAATGTCATAATGGGAGAGCCCAGTTCTCCAGGGATAAAGTTCTTAAATACTTACAATAATTACAAAAGTTTTACATCCTCTTTCTTTGCAATTTTCTTTGGTCCCACAAGCAAATATGTCCTCTTCAACTATATATTTTTAAATATATCTACTGTGCCATATGCTTTTGGCATTTCTTGCTACAACCTTTTAATTAGTGTGAACTTTGCTCCAATCTGTCTCCCTAACTTCATATGAAACATTCCTTTTGGAAGGCACCCCTTATATGATCATTAACACGTGAATTCCAGGACAAGAACCTGGATATGAAGAGAAGAATCTTTTGGGCAGTCAGTCATAACATGGTAAAAGAAGGTCAAGAGAAAGAATGAGTTTACTGTTTCTTGTTGCTGTTTGTTTGTTTGTTTTTTTCTGAGCATGCTTACAGCACCATAGAGGAAACAAAGAGAGGCTGAAG